ATGTAGCAAAAGTAGGAAAGTATGTTCGGTTATTTTTCACCATTTTCTAGCGATTCATCACAACTACAAACGTGTGCAGAATGTATTCAGGCCAGGAGCTGGCAGTGTTACAATAAAATAATTAATTCCTATTAAAGCAAATATTTTCCATTTGTGTCAGCATTATAAATTAAAATTAATCCAATTCTCAGTTTGATATTTTAAAATCTGCATTTATTGCGTGAAAATGTAATTAAACAGAAAATACCATTTCAAAGTAATCATGTGTTGACTTCTAAGCATTTTGTGACCTTTTGATCCCAAATATATTATGTGGGATAACAGGGATAACATCTGCTGTACCGTCTAATTCACTAACGTATTATTAGTAATTGGCTTTGTTTGGTTTTTAAGGTAATTATTTTTGAGCAATATAAACGTGAATTTCAAACTGCGAAACACGACTAAAATTACAATGAAAGGTATTTTAAATTTAACTTCTCATGTTTAGCTATTGTTGCTGGCAGGTGTTTGCAGGTTTCCCATCAGCCCGTCCATCTGTCCGTACGATTCTCATTTCATATCTCCTCGTGGGAATTTCTTTAATTTTGGCAAAAATGTTCACTTGGTCTCAAGTATTATCTGATTAGAGTTTGGTGGTCAAACGTTAAAGGTTAAGGTTCCTCTGACCTCAGAAAGCATTCATGCTTGTATGCAAAGCAAAATTTTACACAAATATGTAATAGGATAAAATCATGAAGTGAGATTTTATAGTCACAAGGTCTAAGTTAAATCATTCCTAATATATTATACAAGATATATAATATTTCACATTTGCTCAGGTTTTAAATTGGTGACACTCGTCCTTCAGACTGCTGCTTGTGTAGATCTTTTGTGCTGAGGGTAGAAAATGTTTAAAGCGTCCATGTTTTGTAATTTCTGCAGCAACATCCACTCTGAAGCCACGTCTCTGAATCCAGACTCACCCGACAGGAGTCTGAGCCAAATTACCCAGTTTCAACCCTCCTGAGAGCTGGAGGATAAATCTGGCCTCGGACCTCACTGTGAACCGATGTTGGTCCAGATTATTTGGTAATGTGAGGAATTTACAGATCCAGGCTGAAACCTCCCAAACTGCTCACAGACTCATCAGGGTCACCCTGAATAGTTTTAAATACGTTTGATATTTACGTTAAAAGCTGGATGCTCGATGTTTTAAAGTGTGCAAATACAACTTGAACTGCAAGCTGTCATTCTTCAAAAGGTTTTATTCTTGTAATTTCAATTTGTTTTACATAGTGTGCACATATTTGGAAAATGAAATAAATAAATTGATTCAGTTTAAATATTTAATTTATTCATTAAAGCAATTTATCAGCCAACTAGACGGGTGCGTGGAGAGAACAGACCTCCGCCAAGGCCAGCAGTCCACTTGGCCATGTGTGTAATTTCACACCACAAACCAACTCTGCACCAAAGTTTAATGGGTTTTCCTTCTTCTTCTTTTTCATCTTGGTAGTTTCTGCATCAGCCTCCTGATGGAAAAACAACAACAACAAACAAACCAGCAAATGCAATAACATCATAAGTTTCTTATTCGACCAAATGCCTTGAATGTCTGGTCAGATTTAGTTTAAGTTTTCAGTTTATTTTTATTTTTTTTAAGTTAAAAAAAAAAAAAAAAAAAAGTCTTTATCTGGTTGTTTCCTTTAAATCTAAACCACAGCACTCAGTCTTACCCGCTTGATGCGTCATGGGCGGGTTGAGGAGCCATTCAGCAGCAGTGGAAATGCAACATAAGAGCACTAAAGATGGACGGAAACCTGGCTGATGGCTGGTTGGAGACTCGTTCTAGCCAGTTGTTGAAAAGTCAGTTTCTCTTGGAGAAACTAGGTCAGTCGCTGTTCTGTGGAAATAGTCACTAAGAACGTATTATTTCTGGGATAATGGCAGCTTAAACATGTCCATAAAAACAAACATTAGGCTTCTTGTGGCCATTCCATGCATGTGATTTTGTTATTTGACTAAAAGTTCCTGATTGGATGAAATCAGGTGCATGATCAGGCTTGGATTTGCATGTAGAGAAAACCAAGACGCATTAGAATCAGATTTGGGATGTGACCAACGCTCATTATATGTGGCTAAATGTGAAAAAAAACAAAAAAAAACTTTGCATCTGGATTTTCTGAGACACTTGAAATGACAGCTGTACATAGGGCTTTTAGTTTCATGAGCAAATTTTGCAGAAAAAAACATTTGTGACACATTATTCCTCAAAGAAACTCCAGTTCAGCTCACCACATCCATATTGTATTAAATATATTCAGGAATAGATGCACAAAAAGTATCTGTTTTCTGCATCCGTCCCTATCAGATGACTTTGTGTGTCACACCACTGGCTCGTCTCCAGCACGGTGTCTCAACATACATCTGCTTTATGTGCAAGCTGCTTTGGCTCGCTCTCTGCCAACCACAGAGGGAAACCATTTGGAGCATTTGGAGCAATGAAATGACCTGACTTCAATGAAAACCAATGTCTGTCTCCGTCCTCATCAGTGAAACCAGGTCGCACTGCAGTTGTTTAGAAAACGAAGAAATAACATGGCTGACTTCCACTGTTGAAGTTGTTTACTCTCAGATGAATACCACTTGAAATTCAGACCAGCAAACTTTTCTAAATCCTAACGCAGCACCATTATGTCAGCTTTATGCAAGTCTGCTTAAAGATTCGGCAGAAGTTTGAAGCCGATGATGCTGTCACTGTTTCATAACGACTCCCTGAGACGTCTCCTCGCCGCCCAAACTGCTTCTCAAAGCCAGATAAGAAGGACAATCGATAGATTTATATAAATCATCTCATTCTAATTAACCTTGGTGCTCGTCTTACTTTTTTGTTCTTTATTACGGCGGTAACTTCCATCCTGTCATAGAGCACTGCATACTTGTTAAATCTTCCCTGGAGCCACTGAAGTTGCCGAACGCAAAGCTGCAAATTCGACATGCGCAAAAAGTCACACAGGGTGACTGTAGCGGAAGATTAGATTAAAGCACCAGGGAATTCCATACAGGGACGAGGGTCCAGTAATTATAAGAGCTTGTCCCTTACCATCAGTAATTGAGTTTACTCTGATGAAGTACGGAAGAATGTAATCTAATCAGCAGAGATGCTGGAGAGACTGCTCTCCATTTTCTATGTAGATAGGTTGTGCTGGTGTGGACAGTCGCCTGGTCTCTGCGTAGATTCAAAGTCTGGTACGGTTTCACTTCAAAGTGCTAAGTGTGCTGTGTTTGCTGGCCTCTGTCTGAAGTGCTATTAGTGCTGCTGTATTTTATCTGTATATTACAGGCGCATCTCCCATAAACACTGCTGTTAAATGCCTCTCCAGAAGGGTAAGACATGTAATTCTGTACAAATTAGCAGAGCTCAAGATGGAAAACACAAGAATATTTCCAAGAAAGGCCGGTGCTGTTTCAAAAGTCCAAAGGCTACTGTTAAGATAAGCACCAGAAGAGGCAGGATCGCAGTTATGTGAGAGTATTCAAAACACCTCTTGGGCGTTCTTCATCATTATTGTGGTGATCGGTGAAGGCTCTCTGTAGGTGTCTGGGACAAACCAAGGCTGCTGAGGTGGTGGGGTGATGAACTTATGGAATTTTGACCACAAATGTGTTGACCTTTGTGGGCACAGGTAGTCACTGTTGACCTCCACTTGAATGGAAAAGAGCAGCTTGTCTTTGTGAACTTTCAGACATAGCGTTTCCCACAATCCCTCAGTGCCATGCCTCTTTTAGTCTCGTGGTGAGTGTGTGCGTCTGTGTGTGCGCGACTGCATTTGTTGTATGTGTATGTGTATGCATGGAGGATGGGAGGGACGGGTTTATTTTATTTTTTTAAATGTTGTAATGTTTTTAAATGCTTTGTTGTTTTTAAATGTTGTAAAGCACCTTGCGTTGTTGTTGTTGCACATAAAAAATGCTATACAAATAAAATTTGATTTGATTTGATTTGACATGTGCAGGAACCCTGATATCGAGACTAGACATAAAGCTTTTCTCCTGATGAATATGCATACATACGTTATGCAGCTACTAGGTTTGTTACAAAACACTATACAAGTCTCATAGCGTTCTACTGCTAACAGTGTTAGCATTGTAGCGATGGTAGCGCTGTTTAGAAGCTACCCAGAGTTTAGGAGTGATGAGTGAGTGGAGAAATTAGTTTAGGAGAATACTGGGTTGAGCAACAAGGAACAAACAATCTGAGACTCTTTCTTTTCTACTTTGAATACATTACTAATACAAACATTGCAGCAATGCTAATATGCTAATGATTAGCATGTATGCTAACCCTCTTTACCACCTTTGTCATGTGTGTTAGCATGCTAACATTTGCTCTTTAGCATAAATAGATTGAATGACTTTAGTTTTTGCAGTTATTTGCAGAATATTGAACAAAGTGACTTTCCAAAATGTTATAAATATTGACATTGAAAGAAAATCAGTTCATCCAGAGGGGAAAGTGACTCATCCCTGTAGCTGCTCATGTGGCTGAAAAAGCCCGAAGAAACCAAGATTAAATCAGTGACTTCACAGCGTTTTTGTTTTTATGGTGACATTTTCCACTTTAACAAGAAATCTATAGACTTGTGAAATTCCATTACATGGCTAATATCAGGCTGTATGTACATTTAGTTTCACATTAGCCACACATGAGCATGTTAGCAGCTTTTATTAGTCCAAACCCCAGACAGCCGACCAGCACCAGAACTCACCGACTGACAGTCAGCTGCTGTTCAGGACAAGAAAACTGAATCTGAAGTAAAAACATTTACAATTGAAATTTGTGCCAAATAGAATCAGTGCCTGTAAGACGAAAACAATTGTGGTTGTTTTGAATAATGTCTTGTTTCCTCGTTTAAAAATGTAAATGTCCTCGTCTGGTTTTACATGTCTAACTGAATCATTTAGTCATTTGAGAACAAGCTTGTTCATCTTCCTCCTCTTGTTTGCATTCCCTGCAGCCATTGAAACGCAGAGCACCAGTTCTGAGGAGCTCGTCCCCAGCCCGCCGTCCCCGCCGCCCCCTCCCCGAGTCTACAAGCCCTGCTTTGTCTGCCAGGACAAGTCCTCCGGATACCACTATGGTGTCAGCGCATGTGAGGGCTGCAAGGTAGGACTCCCTCACCTCACCACACCGAGTCGTGTTTGTCACACAGAGACAAAGAACATTTTCACTGGAGAGGGTTTGAAACACTTCCTGAACCTTCAGAGGGTCGTGTTGGAACTGGGAGCTTTGGTACTTTTGATATTACCTTATACTGTTTTTGCTGATTGACAACTAATCACATAATCAAGGCTGGACTCAGAATAAATTACATGCTAACTATTTTATTTTGGAAGCATTTCATGAAAGTGAAGTGCTGACCACTAAATTAAATTCCCACTTTTATCTTTTTTACTGTTGTGCTCCTTCCAAAAAAAAGCTGTTTGCGGGTATTAAGAGTCCAGTAATTTCCATTCCTTCACCTCTTGTCACAAGAATGAAACCCTGAAAGATCCTGGAGTTACATTCAAACGACATAATCGCCCCTCCTTGTGGCCTTTTGTACCCTTGTCTATTGAAATGTTGTGTAGCACAGTCCGTGCACCGAGAAGGTTTGAAAAAGCCTTTCTGTGTAAAGTTTATGCACTATCCACATTTACGTGTGCTGAACCCTCTTTAGCATGTCCACATGTACAGGGAGCCAAAGATATGTTGGAGACTAGTGTAAAAATTCTTGATTGACGTTGAAATAGGAGTTTCACAAATTTAGGTCCACTTCCTAGTTTTTATTTATTGTATTATTTTTGGAACAAATGTTGGATCGCGGTGTGCAACGTATTGTGCAATACAGTGTGTAGTACAGTTGCTCACTCTAAAAAATGCCATAAAAACAGACCTTGATTTATGTTTTTTTTTCCAGTGAACTAAGTAATAAAAGGTGCTCAGTATGACCTGATAGCAGCGACTGACTGAACTCACACACGAGCCACTGTAGTGACGTCTGAGTGAACTGTCTGCTCGTAGTGATTACTAGGTACAGTTAGTTGCTGATGTTGTCCAAAAACTTAAGGCTATCAAATGAAAATCTGAATATACTGAATGAATGAGAATACAGAATGTAACCAAACAATATTAAACAAAACAGACAATTGTGTTTAACCTTACGAGCCCTATAATGCTCATGTGTGTTTCAGTTAACATGTTTTTTTTTCATATCTGTATAAAACACTTTAAGTGTTTGTGCTAAAATCTGTAAAAAGTCTTGCAATATTACAAAAAAAGGTTTTTCCACATGTTTGATGAAAAGAACGAAAAAACAAGGAAGTGTAAGAGAAGAAGACCTGGTGAATAAATAGTGATGTAATGGAGCATTGGACTTCACTGTCCACCGAGCAGATGGCACTGACTGGAGAATGAGCTCCCCCAGCTGATTGTCTGGATAAATCAACTCCTCACACAACAGCAGAGGATGAAAAAATGCATTTTCAGTTCACATTGCCCAACATTTTGCATAACTGCTATTGTGTCTATAAACACATTTGCTGCTTGTATATAAACTGTGTGTTTGCATATCAGAAACAAATTAATCTGAAAGATTTTTAATTCAATTCTCAAATATTGATTTTGGTACTGACCACAAAAATCACTCTATACACACTGTATCCCAAATGTCCATCAGTGTAGCTGTGAGCTTAAATGGTTGTATTCCAGAAGTAATACAGAATGAACCTTTGAATTAACACACAAAGGCTAATTATCAAAGGGTCAGTTAATCCAGTTTTCTTACTTACCTCTAGGAATAATTTGCTCTGTAGCTGTTCGGCTTTATTTGTGCTGTTTTTTTTTATTTTTTATTGCTTCATAAAGTAAATTCCATTTACCTATCTGCAGGAGTATAAACCATCAGATGTTAGTCAGATAATCTGGTTAGTCTTGTAATTTGGCTGCACTGCTCCTTTAAGACGTGACAGCGCCACTGCTCTGTCTCCGTCTGCCATTCTCAAATGTTCTACTTTTAGACATTCCTTCCAACATCTGTCCTGCCAGCACTTGTCTGTCTTCTCCCTCTTCCAGCAGCTGTTGCTAGGCAACCGCTCACGCCCACATGCACATAGACACACACACAAAAATACAAACAACAATAAGTAGGCTAGTCAGTGAATAGGCTGCTAAGTGTGGATTTTAAAGTGTTGCTGAAGACTTCAGCTCGTAACGTTTTCTATGTAAAGACGTACAGGAATCTGTTGAGTGAGTGACAGTGAGGTTTTTCCAACAAGCCTACATGTATTTGTTGCAGACGAGCTGGATAATTCCTTCCCGGGCAATGCAGTTTTCTCCCATGCAGTCGACTGCAATGTGATGTCCTCTCTCCTCCCTGCCTCTGTAATTGAAGCAGTGGTATGCCAGGAATCCTTTGGAGTTTTTGGCCCAGAGGGAGGTGGTGATCAGCTCACTCACTAAGCTCTGGGTCAAACTAAGTTCTCTGTGGACTCCCATGCCGTTTATGTGCCAATATAAGCCTCATCGTAAAGGCCTGTGGTGACCTCTGACCTGCCTGCTCTGTCCGTGGTTAAACGGAGGCCCACAATAAGTAAAAACACAGAAATGTATCTACAGTGCTCGGTGCGGTATGAACACAATAGCTCAGCTCAGGCACATACGACACGCACTGAGTCAAGAGTGAAGACTCATCATCACATTAGTGGATCACATGGCAGCAGGACCGAGCACCCTGAGTGCAGATTGTGCTTCACTAATGACAGACACAGGCGGTGAATGAAGCGCAAATGCTGTCAGAGTGTTTCTGAGAATACAAACAATATGGCAGAGGTTCATTCCATCCATCTGCTCCCGCCACACAACGCTGATGTAAAAATAGTTCAAATCATGGCAGAATGGCCTTGATTTTTGTGACATCCTGACTCAAGAGGATTAGGCAGCGGATTATAGTTTTTTTCTGTGTTGTATTTCTGTCTCCATGGCAAAGGCATTGTTGTATGTGGTGCAAGGGGCAAGCCCCTTCTATTGGACAGATGCAACCAAGCATGCTGTACAGCTGTAGGCTTTTAGCCAACAAGAAGAGCCTTTTACTGCCCAGTGAATGTGCCAATTAGAGCCACAAATAGAATCAAAGACAGGCAGAGAGGGTTTCTGTGAGGACACTTTGTAGGCTCCGTGGATGAGTATGTGAAGAGGAACTTTTTAAAGAAAACTCATGCACATATGCAGCACTATAAAAAACAGTCTGCAGAGAGGGTCAGTCCCAGCTGTGTAAATAACTGTTTCACTAATGAGCGTCCAAACTGTTGCTGGTTCTTCTCAGTCCTTACAGAAACATGTAATCATTCATGTGAATTTAATACTCCTGCAGAGTTTTGAGGTTTTCAATATCAATAAACCAGATGTTTTTATATGCAGCCATTAAATTATTGGCCAAAATCAACCATAACATAGAGTTATTGAACATTTCCCTTTTCATTGAGTTTCATGACTTATTCTAATGAATTTGTACTAAACTGTTTTTAGAAATCATTCACTTGTTCATGAATTCACAACACTCAGTATTTACTTCGATAATGAATTGAACTTTCAGACACTGAATCAGCATCATTTCACATCATGGCTGACACCTGTGAAGTCACATGACTGCAAATTTAGTGTCCATGAAGTGCTGACCATGGCACTGTGGGCACTGCATAGCACACACATGTGAGAGTCAGAATTCAGACAATCAGATAAAATGGTGGACAGTGGAAATATTACACTGTGGGTTCATATTTCAATACTAACATAACATATAGTGTTTTAGAAGAAGATTAAATATGTCCCAATACATGGTATGTCCAATGCATTGTGTCAAAAATACCAGAATGTATTACTATATTCAATTCTGATTTTAAATATCTGCCCATTCTTACCCACAATCCTCTGTGCAAGAGAAGATACGTTACATACATCATAGTGTCTCACTCAGATAAGCTTGAGCTACCAAAAGCATGCAGACAGGTGGTTTCACACTGCAGATAGCAACAAATATATATGATCAACATGGTGAAAGCTGAAGTTGCAATAATATGACAAAGCAGTATGTCCTACCTGTATGATGCAACAGTATGCACTGTGTAAGGGCAGCTGTAAGACGTGCTGAAAGGGAAAAAGAAAAGTGTGTAATTTAGAAGACAGGGTATGTTCACAGTATGGGCCCTCCTCATGATGTGATATGATGTTACCAGGCTTACAGCTACTTTAAAACTAGTTGGTTAACTATAGCAGCACATGAACATTTTTAGGTAAAGCAGTGCTTATCAGGTTGTTCTTAACAACCTGCTGCTTTGTTGTTCAAAAACTGATTTATAAGTTTGAGTTAAAATGCGTCTTCCTCTACGTGATGTGTGATACATCAGTCCAGTTTTGTCCAGTTGTTATGAAGATCCCATTCAGGCAATGTGGTTGCAGTATAACAGTCAAACATCTAAACGTGGAGACCAGAGAGAAACCAGCAGGCTTGGGAAGTAACAGAATACACAGGCCAGCGTTAAGTAATTATGAAGCATAGAAATGTAATTGCAGTCCATTAAAGGTACAGAAAAATCAGGTTTAGTAGTAATGAGGCTCAATAGCAGAATTACAATCTAGGCCTAACATGCTGGTTGGGCTGAGACACCAGCTCTGTCTCATGATGCCCAGACACATCTCAAGCCACATAAATGGAAACCTCAAAGCCCTTCTTTTATTTTAAAAAATAAAATAAAAATGTTACAGGCTTTCTGTACAAACAAGACAAACTTTGAATCTCAGGTTTTCTCCACACAGAAGACACCGTTTGGGTGTTTTCATTGTGAGTTGATTCTTTTGCTGTTTGATTTCATATTTCACTGAGTTCTGAATGTGCATGAGAACACAATCATGAAGGTCATCTGAGTTTTGACAAAAGATTAAGAGGAGCTTAAGTGCAGCATGTTGCTTCCAACTGTTTGTAGGAGTCTTTCCTCTGAGTTTGTTAAAAACCTGCAGCGTCAAGCAGCAGCAGCAGGATCTGTATGGATGTCTCCAGAGTGAGAGAATTGTACAGTGACTGTGGAGGAAAGCCCATGACAGTCTTGGTCTTGTTATAGTTCTTTAAAGAG